TGTTTGGTACCGCTGAGCGTTGTTTTTTTTCCCCCCTTTGTTCCCAGATGCAGAACCCAGACTCCCTCTCCATTCTCACCAACCCCCGCGCCATGCAGGCGCTCCTCCAGATCCAGCAGGGACTCCAGACGCTGCAAACGGAGGCCCCAGGACTAGTGCCAAGGTAATGAGTGCTGGGTTTCTGCAGGCAGAGCTGACGTGCTCGATACCAGCAGGCAGACGAGCGGTCGATTCATCAAGGAGAGGCATGGGGGGACCTGTGTGTGTGTGTGCCTGCAGGCTGTAGTGAGCTCCAGCTAATTAGCACGTTCTGCTTATTTGCACTCAGTGCGGGGGAAGTCCTTGACCCTTTCTTTTCTCCAAAAAGATTTGGGAGCTGCTGGGTCCCTCCCCTGTCTTTTGGTAGCGGTTGGACTCGAGGATTTTGTCTCTGAGGAGGAACGAGATGCGCAGCCAGGAGGTTGGGTGGGGAAGTGAGGTCAGACTGATCTGCCAGCAGCCCTCGGGCCCTCTGCTCTCTGACAGCGTGGGTCTCCTTCAGCTTTTGCAGTTCCTTTCAGCCTGCACCTCTTTTGGGATTGCCTGTGCCCCGTGGCGTGCATGACCGGGGTACAAACGAGGCTAATTAGGTTAACGAAGCTGTCCCGAAGCACGGGATTGTGGCGGGGGGCTTCCCCCCTGCTGCCCAAATCCCACGAGACGGGCAGGGGACGCCCAGAAGCGCCAGCTTGCCTCTGAGCACACCCTGCCTTTTTCTGCAGCCTCGGCTCCTTTGGCATGCCTCGAATGCCCCCGTCCTCCACAGGAGGAAGCACAATCCCGGAGAACCCCGTTCCCTCTGCTTCGACGCCGGCCAGTGCCTCTCCAGCTGGGGGTGGTAACCCCCAACAGCAGCTCATGCAGCAGATGATCCAGCTGCTGGCCGGAGGAAGCTCTCAAGTATGTAACGCTCAGCTCCACGCTGCTGGGCTTTTGGGGGACACCTGCAGGGTTGAGCTAGAGCTTGTCCTGATCCCACCCCACTCCAGGGACGCAGCGGATTTCTCTTGGGTGCGGTGCTTGCTGCTAAATTTGCAGGATTTGGTGTCCCAGAGTGGTAACTTTGGGACACCAAAAAGTGGTAAATGCTTTGAAACTAAGAGCACTGTGCACAGTGCTGCTGTCGCTGTAGGTACAGGACTGGGACCAACTGGGTGCTGACTGGGGGCTCTGCCAGAGCCCGAGGGAGGTTGGGGGAGGCTGGTAACGTCGCCAAATGAGCCTGGAGAGTTTCAGTGCTTGGCACAGGCTCCCCGTGCAGCCGTTTCTGTCCACGTTGGATGTCATCTCCTCTCCCTGCCTCTAAGGTCTTTGTCCTCTTCCTCTGTAGGCGCAGAGTCCTGAAGTGCGATTCCAACAGCAGCTGGAGCAGCTGAATGCCATGGGCTTCATTAATCGTGAGGCCAACCTCCAGGCGCTCATTGCCACTGGTGGAGACATCAATGCAGCTATTGAGAGACTGCTGGGCTCCCAGCCTTCCTAAACTCTTGTCATGCTGCCCCACAGATGTCAGCACACGCATCCATACACATGCGCAGGGGGATCTTTCAGGAAAGCCCACCATCATTTTCATATCTGACAGCTGTCCATGTATTTAAAACAAAAAGATACAGCTTAACCCCTGACCTTCCTACTAAGTTAAGATTTCATGTTGAAATGCTCTTTAACTGGCTTGTATGTGGATTCCAGTTCTCATCGTGGCCACAAAGACTTCAGATGTGTATTTTTTCCTAAATATGCCCTCTGTCTCAGACACTCTTCTCTCTTTCTCTAGATGGTAGAGGCGATACTTCTAGTTATTTACCTGAATGATTGTGTTTTGAGTAGCTTGATTTTAACTGTACATGATTCCCTCCCTTAGCCTTCCTTTCAGGCAAATATTTAAAACTTGAGCCAAGTTTGGTTTCTGGTTCTTTCTCCCAGCATCTTATTGGGGATGGATCAAAAGAAAAAAAATTGAAGTGACTTGGAAATTCCTGATGTCATTTGTCTTAATGCTTCATGGGATGAACCGAGCTTGTGTCCCTCGCACGCAGGTGTCACAAATCTCCTGGTAAAGGGTTGATGTGCATGAAAACGACGTCTGCACTATGGTTCCTGAGGCTGTTGGGATAGTGTAGAGTAGCCTGGATGCCTTCAGGGATCAGGCTTGGAGTTGAAGCGGCGTGCAGAAGGTGTTTGAAAGGTGGGTTTCTGCCCAAACAGGTTCTTGTGCAGCGATGCCGGGGGTTTGTTGGCTCAGCAGGTTCATTTCTGAAAGCGTAAAAACAAGAAGAGGTTGAAAAATGAGTTAAAGACCTCTTCTTTCCACTGGAAAATGTTGACATTCATGTTCTTCCCAGTTTAGACCACCCTCCCCTCCCCATTTTGGTGTGTTTGAATGTTACCGACTCTCCAAGAAAACTCTCCCCCAGGACCAGCAGGGTGATATTTTCCCAAGAGCCTCCATGGCTGTGTAATTTGCATACCATTTTTATCAAAGAAAAAAAAAAAAAAACAAAATAAATGCGCACAACCATCCGTCTCCCTGCGCTCCATGTATCTTCCTTGATTGCCACACCGCAGCTGATTGAGTTCCCCTAATTATTGGTGATTAATCCGTCTCATCCCCCTCGCAGCTAGGGCGGGGTGCCGGGCTTCCTTCGCTCCTGTGGCAGGAAACCTTTTGGCCGCTTCGGTGCTTAAGAAGTGCTGCTGAAAGCTTGCCCCAAACCTGGCCCTAAACGTGCCCGTGGAGATGCTGCCTTTTTATCAGGGCCTTTTGCATTTAGGGCAATCCAGATGTCCTGATGCAAAGCGTATCAGACCAGCAGGTTCTTCGCTGACCCCATAAATGTTGACAATGCTGATGCCCTGGGGAATCTGGGCAGCTCTGTGCCTGGTGGATTTTACTCCTGCTTTTCAACAGCAAGCAGGGCACTCACTTTTAGCTCAGCACTCGTGTTCTGCATTTCTTTAATTTTATTTTTTTTTTTTTTTTTTTGGTAGGGGAAGATTGGGCAGTGAGAGGGAAGGGGATTGCAGGAGGCGTGGGATTGCTCCTCCCTTTGTGCGATGTGCATCACAACAAGGCTGGGATTTTAGGGATTCCAATCATCTAGGTTGAATCTCTTGAAGGCTCTGCCTGTATACGTGGATTTTTTTTTTCCTGCAACCTCTCCTCAAATGTAAAAAACCAAAACCCCACAAACATTTGCAACAAGCGCGTACGGACGGGCACTGAAGCTCTGGTGGAGGCAGAGCAATTCCTCGAGCTGCTGCTCAGCCCCTTTGCAGCTGAAAGTTGCTTTCTGGAAAGGCCTGCGTGATCCTAAATGATTTCTTAGGTTTGGACACCCCGTGCCTGCGCTTAGGATGGGGTAAGCAGGTGAGTGCAAGGGGGAGGAGACGGCAGCTGGCAACGGCGTCACTTCGAGGTCATTCCTCACCTGCTGCCAGCCAAGGTGCCAAAACCAAAATAGGGGGGCAGCCTCTTCCCACCCAATGCTCACCCACCAGCTCACCAGTTCCCCCTGGGGAATTTGGCAAAGCTGCTGCCCCCCTCTCCCCTCGCTGCTCAGGGGGCTTTGCTGAGCACCCCACGGATTTGGGGCTCCGATTCCATATCTGGAGCCACGTGAAGGGGGTTGGGGCTGGTGGCATCCTGGGGAGGGGGCTTTGGCTGCAGCCACCTGGCCCTGGGGACCCCCCCAGTGGGGTTGGGACCCGCTGGTGCTCACCAGCAGCCCCTTGGCTCAGCCCAGGCTTGGGAGGAGAAGGCGGCTTTGAACGCTGGTGGAGGGGGAGGATTTTAGTGAAACCTTAATCCCCTCCGGAGAGCTCTCCCTAATCCTCAGAGCTGCTCAGGAGCCCCCTTTTAGGGGAACAATTTCGCTCGCTCGCTGTTGTCTCTCTCCTTCCCCAAGGAATTGCCCCGCGGTGTTTCTCGCCGACTGTTTCCTCTCATTTTTTTTCTGATAAATAAAAGTCATTCATTTAAAATGTAATAGAAGGAGCAATTTCCTTAGCAGGTAGCAGCAAATCTGGCTGATTGACTGGGGGACGTTGCTGCTGCAAAGGGCTTAATTTCGCTTCGTTCCTCCCCTCTCCCTGGAGGGGAAAGGCAGCGTTTTCCCCCAGTAACTGAAGGTAACACTTTCAACTTTGAAGTCAAACCTCTTAAATGTGGAGGAGGGAGATATTGCAGGAAATGAACAACTAAATTCCCTTCAATAAGTCTTTTTTTTTTCCTTTTTTTTTTCCTTTTTTTCCTTTTTTTTTTTCCTTTTTTTTTCCTTTTAATTTTTTTTTCTTTTTCTATTTTTTTTCCCTTTTTATTACTAAACCTCCCTGGCTGTGCCCTGCTCAGCACCCAGCATCTGTGGCCCTGATTCAGAGGGTGGGGACATGGAGGAGCTGTGGGGACCTCGGACACCCACAGGGACCCTTGGAAACCTTGGGGACCCTTAGGACCCCCCTGGACCCCCAGAAGCCTTGGGGACTCTCAGGACCCCTGTCCTCCCCCAGCAGCTGTGGGAACCCTGTGGACCCCCAGGACCCAAGGGGACCCCCAGAAGCCTTGGGGACCCTCAGGACTCCCCTGGACCCCCAGCAGCTGTGGGGACCCCCACAAGCCTTGGGGACCCTCAGGATGCAGGGGGACCCCCAGAAGCCTTGGGGACCCTCATGACCCCCCTGGACCCCCTGCAGTTGTGGGGACCCCCAGGACCCCCAGTACCCGGGGGGACCCCCAGAAGCTTTGGGGACCCCCGTGGACCCCCAGAAGCCTTGGGGACCCCCGTGGACCCCCAGCAGCTGTGGGGACCCCCAGAACCCAGAGGGACCCCCAGAAGCCTTGGAGACCCTCGGGACCCCCGTGGCCCCCCCGGGACCCCCGTTTGCGCCTCCTTCCTTCCACAGGGGACATTTTTTGGGGGGCGTCTTTGCGCCCTCCCCCCCCCCACCGCGCACGCGCGGGGCCCGCCCCGGGGGTGGTGCCTTTGCCCCCCCCCCGCCCCCCCCCAGCCCCATCCCGTCCCGTGCCCGTCGCCATGAGCGCCCCGGGGCCGGGGGGCCGGGGGCTGAGCTTCGCCGAGGGGCTCCTGCGGCGGCACGGCTGGAGCCAGGGTGCGGCCAGGGGCTGCTGGGGGGTCCCGGGGGGGTCCCGGAGCTGTTGGGGGTCCCCGAAACCCCCCCGGGTATCTGGGGTCTGTGGGGATGCTGAGGGTCTCCGCTCGGGGTTCTCATGGGTTCTGGGGGTCCCCGTGGGTGCTGGGGGGGCACGGGGGTCCTGAGGGTCCCCACGGGTCTTGGGGGGCCCTGGAGGACCTGAGGGGGCTCGTGGATGCTGGGGGGCCACAGGGGTGCCAAGGGTCCTCGGGGGTCCCCACTCCTGGTGGGGGTCCGGAGGGTCCCCACGGCTCCCGGGGGTCCCCAGGGGTCCCCAAAGGTTCTGGGGGTCCCCATGGCTCCCGAGAATCCCCACGGCTCTCAGGGGTCCCCAGGGCTCCTGGGGGTCTCTGTGGCTGCTCAGGGCTCCCAGGGGTCCCCATGGGTCTCAAGGGTCCCCTTGGGTGCCAGCGGTCCCCACAGCTTCTGGGGGTCCCCATGGGTGTCAGGGTCCCCACGGGTCTCAGGGGTCCCCATGGGTGCCAGGGGTCCCCATGGCTTCTGGGGGTCCCCATGGGTGTCAGGGGTCCCCACGGGTCTCGGGGGGTCCCCTTGGGTGCCGGGGGTCCCCACGGGTCTCGGGGGTCCCCTTGGGTGCCGGGGGTCCCTGTGGCTCCTGGAGGCCCCCATGGGTGCTGGGGCCACCCTCCACGCACAAGCTGTGCCCCTCATCCTTCGTGCAGCGGCACAGCTGGGGGCACGCTGCAGCCAGGCCTGGGGCTCCCTTTGGGTCATTTCCCTTGAGCCCCCCCCCGGGACATCCCCCAATTCGGGGTGTGGAGCCCCCATGAGCGCCGCTCCCTCTGTCCGCAGGCAAGGGGCTGGGCAAGAAGGAGGACGGCATCAGCCAGGCCCTCAGGGTGAAGGTGAAATGCGACAGCGCGGGGGTGAGTAGGGTGACTGGGAGGGGGCCAGACCCCAAAACACACTCCGGGGGAGTGCCGGGGGTCCTGGTGGCTGTCCCCTTTTTGAGGGGTCCCCCTGCCTGTCCCCTTTTTTGCCCCGCAGGTGGGTCACAACGCGGCCGAGCAGTTCTCCTTCCACTGGTGGGATCACGTCTTCAACGAGTCCGCCGCCAACATCGCTGTGGAGGACGGGCAGGTAGGGGGGGGCAGCGGGGAATTCCACCGGGAAGCGGGATTTGGGGTCGCTTTTGGGGATTTTTTTGCACCCTGAGGCTCGCAGTGCCCGGCGCTGCTGCGGGGGGGGGGGACGGAGGCACACACACATGAAAAGTGCCCGATTGTGGTCTGCTCCTTCAGGACGGTGTCTGCCTGAAGACCCTCGGTGAGCAGCGCTCTGGGATCAGCACCAAGAAGCCCCGCAAGGCCGTCGGTGCTGGCAGCAAACTGTACGGCCGCTTCGTGAAGGTGCCACCTCGGGACACGGCTCTGTGAAATCTGCTGGCTCTGTGCACCCCCTCCCTGGCAGCTTTTTGCTGCTGTGGCCCCTTTTCAGCCCCTTTTTTTTCCATGTCCCCCTTTCCCTCTGCAGGCAGCCACGCTCACGGCACGCGGCGAGGAGCCGGCCAAGCTGCCCGCAGGCTCGGAGAGCAGCGAGGAGGAGGAGGAGGAGGAGAAATTGGACCGCTCTTCGGCCCGGAGGCAAGGAGGGAGGGATGGGGGTGGCAGGGGAACCCTGCTGCGGCTCACGCCGGTGTCACCGTGCTGGGGGTGACACCTCCTGTTTGTGTCCCCAGGCTGACGGATGAGGAGCTGGTGAGAGCATGCGGGGGCCGCACTGCACACAAGTGAGTGGCTGGGGGGTGGCTGCGTTTTTGGGATCCCTGTTCCTGGCAGGCTGGGCTAAGGGGGGGTGTGGGACCCCGCTGCGAGCACCCTAAACCTGGGGTTGTTGCAGGGGGGCCCGTCACGGCCTGACCATGAGCGCCAAGCTGGCGCGCCTGGAGGAGCAGGAGCGAGCCTTCCTCGCCACGTACCAGCAAAAGAGGGAGCAGCCCCAGCCTGCAGAGCTGCAGGAGAAGAAGAAGAAGAAAAAGAAGAAAAAGAAACGGGCTGGAGATGGAGCAGAGGCTGAGGCGCCGCAGAGCTGTGAGCCAAGTGGAGAAGAGGAGGTGGAAGGAGAGGAAGAGAAGGTTGCGAAGAGAAAGAAGAAGAAAAAGAAGGAGAAAGAAGAACTGGCTGAGGCAGAATTCCCTCTAGAAGAGGCAGAAGGGGCAGAGCAGGCTGAGCACAGCCCCAAGAAGAAGAAGAAGAGGAAGAAGAAGCGGAGGGAGGAGGAGTGAATGGTGCCGGTACCGCCTGGCTGGGAGGGCACCGATCCTGCCTGCGGCACCGGTGGGCACCCAGAGCTGTGGCTGAGCCCCGCATGAGCTGGGCTCGTTGGGCTGGGGCTGGCTGGAGTTTTGTTTCACCCACGGAGCCTTCCTCCAGCCTGGGGTGCGCCCAGATCTCCCCAAACCACAGGGCTGGGACGTGTTTGTTACAGGTCCAACATCAAGGGATGCAAGGGCAGAGCCCACCGCGCACTGGTTCGTTTCCCAAGGGCATCAATAAAACTTTATTGCAGTGAAACGCTCCTGAAGTGCATCGTGTGACAGATCCAGGGTTGTGTCTACACCTAGAAACACCCAAATTAGCTTCTAACCCCAAACCCCAGCCCTGGCAACCTGCAGCAAACCTCCATCCCGCTGCCGGAGCTGGGTAGCACTGACCCAACACGCGGTGCCGAGCCTCCTCTGGGCGCAGAGCTGCATCTTTGGCAAAATTCGACCCTGCGTGGCCGTGCCAATCCCCAACCCTAGGAGAGCTGCAGGACGCAGTCCGTCCCCGGGTACGGGGGCAGGTTCAGGGAATATTTCTTCTGCAGCGCCGCGGGCACGAAGCGGCCGCCCAGGAAGTGGTAGCGGCCGGTGAAATGCTGCGCCGCCTTCTTGGGCGCCGTCAGCGAGATGAGCATGTCGGGCTGCAGCCCGTCCGCCTTCCCCTTCTCCACGTCCCAGCCTGCAACGAACCCCAAAATCTGGCTGGAGCAGGGGAAACCCCCCCCCAACCGGGTGCTTTCTGCCCCAAAGGGTCCGGCCGCTACTCACCCGAGGGGATGTCGATGCTGGCCACCGGCACCGTGACGCGCTCGAGGGTGTTGAGGATGCTCCCGAAGGGCTCCCGCACCGCCCCCGTGAAGCTGAACCCAAAAATCGCGTCCACCACCAGCCCGTAGAGCTCGTCGATGAGCGCAGCCTGCGGTGAAAGGGGGGGAAACCAGCCTCAGGGTGGGGGTACGGCCCCGAGGAGGGGGGCTGCGTGCCGTTTTGGGGTGCTGTTTGCTCACCTCTGCCGGGAATTCGGAGAGGAAGGGGATGTCCATCTTCTGGCACTGCGTGGTCAGCCCTTCAAACAGCGGCTTGTTGGGGCGCTTGGGGTAATACACGGTGGGCTCGTAGCCCTGCGAGGACAAGGAGGGAGCCGTTTTGGGGGGTAGAAACCCCAAATTTTGCGGGTCCTGGGACCCTGGGGGCAGGGGGTGAGGCTCGGCCCCGCTTGCAGGACACTCACAAACATTTTCAGGTGGCGGGCGCACACCAAGCCGTCGCCCCCGTTGTTCCCCGGCCCGCACACGACCAGCACGGCGGGGAGGCTCTTGGTGAAGGAGCCGGGGGGGTACGCCTGGGGTAAGAGGGAGGGCAGGGTTACGGCGGGCTGGGTGGGCACCCAAGGGTGGCCGCTCGCCGCTTCCGCGCCCACCTTGGCGATGGCGGTGGCGCAGCTCAGCCCCGCCAGCTCCATCAGCTGGTCCACGCTGAACTTGTACTCGGTGAAGAGCTCCTGGTCGATGGCCTGGGCTTCCTCCTGCCTGGGGGAGCAGCAGGCACCCCTGGGACCCCTGCGGGCACCCCTGGGACCCCTGCGGGCACCCCTGGGACCCAGCGCTACTGGACCAGGGCCAGCACGGGGGTGCCGCTGCATTTACCCACCCCCCACCCCACTTTGGCATTGCAAAACACCCAGGGACAGGGGGACAGCCACCCCCCCCTTGTACTTCTACCGCCCTCTCCACCCCCCCTGCCCACTCTCCATGCCCCCCCTACACCCTCTCCAACCCCCTTGCACCCTCTCCAAACCCCCCTGCACCCTCTCCACGACCCCCTGCACCCTCTCCACCCCCTTGCACCCTCTCCAACCCCCCTTGCACCCTCTCCATGACCCCCATACACCCTCTCCAACCCCCTTGCACCCTTTCCACCCCCTTGCACCCTCTCCAACCCCCCTTGCACCCTCTCCAACCCCCCCCCAAAAAAACAGGACCCCTTACCCAAGGAAGCGCAGCCCCCCCGTGCTGGAGCCGTGCATGGCGCAGCGGGGGCGGCTCCAATTCCAACTCCGGCTCGGGCAGCGCGCCCCCCCCGCCGCCACCAGCAGCCCCAACCCCAACCCCAACCCCAGCAGCCCCCGAGGACCCCGCATGCAGCGCCCCGGCCCCGCACGGCTCGGATCGGCCCGGAGCAACACGGAGCAAGCGCAAGGGGCGGCCCCGTCCCCGGCTCCTCCCCGGGTTTGGGGTGCTTGGGGCGAGGGGGGAGCCGCTGGGGGGCGCTGGGGTGGGAGCAGAGAAGGGCGAGAGGCTTTGGGGTCGCTCAGCTTTATTTTGGGGGGGTTTCCAGCAAAATGGGAGAGGGGAGAGAGGCCGGTGCTGTGCGCGCTGGTGCGCAGCCGGGGCCGGATCCTGCTGCGGTGGTGCCGGTGGAAGGGGACCGCTGGTGGCCCTGGTGGCTCCGTGCCACCCTCCTGCTGTCTGTGGGTGTCACAGGAGGCTGCAGATGCGGGACAGCATCCCGCTGCCCCGGCCGGGTCCCCAAATCCTGCGAGGCACAGGATGGGGGCTGCTGAGGAGTTTTATAGGGCCGCCGGCACCCACCGTGCCCCCGCCACCATGCCCAAGGGCTTGGGGTGGGATCCCCGGTGCCAGTCCTCAGCGCTTGAGCACCACATGTGGTTTTGGGGAGGGGGATGTGGGGGTTGCAAGGAGCTGCGGTGCCCAAATCCTGCCTGAAAACCTCAGCCTGTGGCCCCACATGGTACCTACCGCTGCGGGGAGCGTGGCCCCAGGGGTTTGTGCTCGCTGTGCCCGGTGAAACATGGTGTGAAGACAGCAGCTGGGGGCGCGGGGGCTTGGATTTTGCTTCGGCACGCACCTCCCGACCGCAGACGGGTGCTGTTCAGGTGCCTGGGAGCAAAGCAGAGAGCAAAACGGGGAGTGCTGTGGGACGAATGCTGCCCGATCCCATTGCCACCAACCTGTCCCCACATCCCAGCCTGAATTACCCCCTTAAAACCCAACGCGTGATGCCAGCCAGGAGCGTTTTGGCCAGCTGAGACAGTGGTGACATTGCTGCAGTCACTAAATCCCGTCCCCATGCAAACCTCTGCTGAAATCCAGCCGGGCCGTGGCTCTTTGCCTTCATCCAGGAGCCCGCAGCAGGCCCTGGAGCGATGCCGCTCGCTGCGTTGCTGCTGCTGCCAGGGCTAAAAGGCAGCGATTCGGTGCAGGGAGCCCTGCCTCTCACCCACCCGTTAACGTGGGGCTGGCTGCGACGCCCCTGGAGATGTGCTGGGACCATCCTCATCCTCCTCGGAGCTGGCTGGGTGCCGGTGAGGGGCCTGGGGCTCCGCTGTGGGGTCGGGGGCCGGGGCTGCTGCTCCTGTGCCACCGGGGAGGAAAGGTGAACAGGCAGGAGGCTGGCACGAGCCGTGCCGAAGCCTTGCCTCTGGCTGAAAGCCACCGTGTGGCTCAGATGTCACCTGGGTCGTAGTTGGCAAGAGGATGGGGTTCGGTTCCCCCCTTGCTGCTTGGATAATTGTTCCGGGAAGGTTTTTTTTTGCTTTGCTCCTCTCCCCACTGCTGCCTCCCCACGCCTCTGTCCAGCACCAGGCGATGTGCCCCTCTGTTTTTTTATTGCAAATCAGGGAAAAAATGCCAGTCCTGATTTCTGGAAGTCTGATTTTCTGAAAATTTCTCTTCCCAGGACTGTGGCCAGTGTGGGAGCCAACCCAGCGTTTCCCTCTGTAGCACCCAGGACACGTGGGCACCACCCCAGGCACACTCTGCACCTTCTTACCTGGCATCCTAGGCTGTGCTCCCAGCGCAGGCTGGTGCAGCTCATCCCCAGCTTTCTCCCTGAAGAACCTGGGGTCGAGGGGAGGAAGATTTATCCCATGGATGCTGCTGGGAACTCAGCCATGGAGGAGCGAGGGGCAGGACACCGTCCTCTGCCAGCACAGCTGGAGCTTTCCTACTCACACCTCGCTTCCCTGGAGCCGTGTCCCACTGGCACGGGGCAGCACGGAGCAAAACTGCGGTGGGTTGAGGTCCTGCGGGGCACCAGCGGGGAGGACGGGTGGCCTGGGGGCCACACAGAGGTGTCCCTGTCCCCCAAACCCCAAAGCAGGGCTCGGTCAGGAGAGGCGAGCAGCTGCACAGCTCGGGGAGGTGGCAGAAAACGCACACCTCGGTGCAGGGCTTTGCTGGCATCTCCACCCCTGAGCACCATCCCCGGCCCTATTTCGGGCCCCATCTGGCTCCCAGCACCCCAAACGGCCCCGGGGTGCTGCTCACCGGCTCCGGGGCACCCCAATATGAGGGGTGGCGGTGGAGGCAGAGCTGGTGCTGGAGGGCATGGCTGAGCTGGCTGACGATCCGCTCGCCGGCGGCCCTGGGGGTGCCCTGCAGAAGAGAAATCCCCCCCCAGGTGAGTCTGTCCCTGTGATGGGGCTGGTGCTCACCACGTACAGGAGGGTCTGGCCCTGAGGTTTCCCTTACCCGGCAGCGGGACAGCAGAGTCAGGGCCTCCTGGTAGTGCCCGATGGCTTTTTGGGGGTTCCCCAGGTGGAAGCAAGCGGCTCCCAGCCCCTCGCATGCTTGCCACTGCCCTTGCACATCCCCTGCAAGGCAAAGATCCCCTTCAGACACTTGGCTGGGAGCTGTGGAGACCCTAAAAGGGCAGACGGGGCCGTCGTGACCGGGATTTGCGTCCCCTTACCCGAATCTCTGAAGGCTTGCAGGGCATGGAGGTAATTCTCTGCGGCAGCCTCGTGGTTCCCGAGCTGGCTGAAGGCGTACGCCAGGTTTCCGAAGCACTGCCCTTGGGCTCTCCGGTTCCCCACGGCGCCTGCGAAGCGAGCGAGGGGGTCACGTTTTGGAGCCAGAAGAGGGGACCACGAGGGACACCGTGCGAGCTACCGTGCAGCTCCGCCGCTCGCCGGTGCAAGCCCAGGGCCGTGCCGAAGCTGCGCAGGGCGTTGCGGGCAGCGCCCAGGTTCTGCAGCAGTGCAGCCTCCCCTCGCCGCCCCAGCGAGCCCTGGCACAGAGCGAGGGCTCGCTCGAAGCTCTCGCTGGCCAGGGAGAAGACGTGGAGCTGGGAGAAGCCGAGGCCGACCTCGTTGTAGAGCTTCCCTGCGGGATGTAGAGGAGAAACCGGGTGGGGATTGGCGCTTCCCAAGCACCGGGAGCGAAGGAGCCGGCGCGGCGTTACCTCGCAGGGTCGGGTCGGCGATGCTGTCGCAGAGCGAGCGGCACCAGGTGAGGATCCGGGCGATTTCTGCCACCCCAAACCTCCGGCTCTGCAGCATGGAGCCACTTGCCCTGCTCAGAGCCACCGCGGCGGCCTCGGGGCTCTCGGCCACCGCGTAGCTGTGCGCAGCCTCCAAGAAGCACCGGGCGGCTCGTGCCGGCTCCTGCATCCCCAGGTAGCAGCAGCCCATCTCCACGGCCTGGCTGCCGGCACGGCACGGCCCAGCCGCTTGGCCAAAACACTCCAGAGCCTTTGGGAAGTCCCTGAGCCCCTCGCCGGCCGCCCCGATGTTGAAATAAAGCCCCCCAAAGGGTTCACCCTCCGCCGGCTGGGACTCGAGGAGGAATTTTAGGCCCTTTCTGGGCTTGCCAGCCTCCACGTAGGCAGCCCCCAGGTTGAAGGAGCAAACCCTGCGGAGCCGGGGGCTCGTGGTGCCCAGTGAGAGCAGGAACGCCTTCCTGAAGCACGCCAGGGCCCCCCGCACGTCTTGCAGCCCCAGTGCCTGCTGCCCGGCTTGTGTCAGCCCCTCGATCTCGGCCGCTTGCCCCTTGATCTTGGCCGCTTGCCCCTTGGCACCGTTCCCCCCTTCCTTGGCTTCCTCCACCACCGCGAGCTTCTCCTTCCTTTTCTTCTGACTCTTCCTCCTCCTGGCCATGGGGTCCGTGGGGGCTGCAGGGTCTGTGGGGGCCGCGGGGTCTGTGGGGGCTGTGGGGTCCTTGGGGGCTGGAGGGTTCATGGGGTCTGTGGGGTCTGTGGGGGCTGCAGGGTCCATGGGGGCTGTGGGGTTTATGGGGTCTGTGGGGTCTGTGGGGTCTGTGGGGACCGTGGGGTCTGCGGGCTGTGCTCTCAGTTCTGCAGCCATGGGCAGTGACACACCTGCAAGAAAGAAGCACCGAGCAGCCTGGTGTGGCACAGCCAGAGTCCTGGCACCCCTCAAACAAGCAGATTTTATTATTATTATTACTATTGCTATTATTATTATTATCATTATCATTATTATTATTATTATTACTATTATTATTACTATTATTACTATTATTATTATCATCATCATCACTATTACTATTATTTTTATTACTACTACTATTACTGCTATTATTACCACCACCCTCCTCCTCCTCACCATTATTATTCCCATTATTATTCTCATTATCACTCGTTATTACTATCACTAAAATTTGGAGCCCGTTTGCTGCACAAACAGGAGGAAAAACCTTCCCACGGACGACCCCAAGCCCAACCTCTCTGCTCATCACGTACCCGAGCAGAGGGGCGGCGTGACGGGGAAGGCTTTAATTCGGGGTTTTCTTTTAGGACTGTGCCCGGCTGCACTTACTGTTGTCCTTTTAGGTTCTGAGCGGGCAGGGGGCGAAGCACAGAGCCCTGGGTGGGGGATGAGGCTTCCTAAAATGTCCCCGAGTGCCTCCTGGACTCGCAGCCGACTGGTGACGGCTGCCGGTGGCTCCCGGGTGTCCGGGGAGCTGCAGGAGCGGCGATGGCCCCGCAGGCTCCGGTTTCAGCTCCGCCACCATCGGGCCGTGCAGTGCCATGGTAACGGGGCCTGCGGGCGTGTGGTGGCTGTGGCGGGTGGCACAAGCGGTTGCTTGTGGTGGGTGGCGCGACCTGTGATGGGTGGCACAAGTGGCCATAACGGGTGGCACAGCCGGCTGCTTGTTGAGGGTGACACAAGTGGCCATCTGTGGTGGGTGGCACGATGGGACACTTGTGAGGGGTGACACAATCGTCTCCTTGTGACAAGGGGGCACAACTGGCTGCATGGTGGCACAACCGTCCAGCCGTGACAGGTGACACAACCGGACACTTGTAACAGGCGGCATAACCGGATGCTTGTGACAGGTGATGATAGTGGCCACCTGCAACAGGTGACACAACCAACTGCTTGTGATGGGTGACACAATTGTCTGCTTGTGACAGGGGGCACAACCGGCTGCCTGGTGGCACAACCGGCCACCCGTGACAGGCGACACAACCGGACACTTGTGATGGGTGGCACAACCAGACGCCAGTGACAGGTGACAGAGCCAGCCACTTGTGACAGGGGGCACAACTGGACACCTACAAAAGATGGCGTAACCATCCACTTGTGACGGGTGACACAACCAGGTGCTTGTTGTGGGTGGCACGACTGGACACCTGCGATGGGTGACACAAGTGGCCATAACGGGTGGCACAACCGGCTGTTTGTGACGGGTGACACAAGTGGCAATCTGTGGTGGGTGGCACGACGGGACACTTGTGAGGGGTGACACAATCGTCTGCTTGTGACAGGGGGCACAACTGGCCGCCTGGTGGCACAACTGGACACTTGTGACAGGTGACACAACCGGACACTTGTGATGGTGGCACAACCGGACACTTGTGACGGGTGACAGAGCCGTCTACTTGTGACAGGGGGCACAACTGGACACATATGACAGATGGCATCACCACTTGTGACTGGTGACACAACCAGCCACCCCTGACGGGTGACAACAGCGGCCACTTGGGGTGGGTGGCACAACAGGCCTCAAACCCCAGCCGGGAACTACAAGTCCCGTCAGCCCCCGCGCGACCTCCCCCCCACGTGACCGCCTGCAGGCGGGAGATTCGAATCGCGGGCGGGGCCGCGGCTGCACCATGGAGGGAGCGGGGCCGGAGCCGATCCGGAGTGAGGGGGGGGGGGATTTGGGGTCGGGGGTTTTGGGGTCGGGGGGCGGTTGGTTGTGTCTGGGAGGGGGGGTATTTGGGGCTGAAGGGGTTGATTTTGGGGCTGGGGGGGGTGTTATTGGGGTTAGGGGGATTATTTGGGGGTGGGGGGTGTGGTTTTGGGGGCTAGGGGGGGATTTTTGGGGGACCAGGGGGGTGTTTTTTGGGACCAGGAGGGGTTATTTGGGGGTAGGCGGTGTGGTTTTGGGGCAAGGGGGTTGATTTTGGGGGCATGGAGGGGGTGTTTTGGAGTCGGGGGGGTGTTTTTGGGACCGGGAGTTGTTTTTGGGGCTGTGAGGGGGTGTTTTTGGGGTCAGGAGGGCATTTTTGGGTCTGTTTGGGGTTGTTTTTTGGGACCAGGGGGTGTTTTTGGGGCTGTTTGGGGTCGTTTTTGGGACCAGGGGGGTGTTTTTGGGGCTGTGTGTGTATTTGACGTTTGGGTCTGGGCGTGGTGGGGGTGTGTTTTTGGGGCTGGGCCGTGCTGCTGTTGCCCCCCCAGCACTTTTGGGGTCCCCTGGCTATTTCCAGCCCCCCCCCCCAAAACCCCTCCCAGCTCTGGGACCCCCCCCAACACTCATTTAGGAAAGGGGAGAGCTGGAATCCTCCCTCCCCACCCCAAAAACTGCCAAAAGCCCGGCTTTCCTTCGACAACCCCCCTCCGAGGGGGGGCGTATGGGCACCCCAAAACCCCCCCCCTGAGCTGGGGGGGGGTGACGGGGGTCCCTGTGCCCCCCCAGATGAGCGCCTCACGGCGGACGAGATGGACGAGCGGCGGCGGCAGAACGTGGCCTACCAGTACCTGTGCCGCCTGGAGGAAGCCAAGCGGTGAGGCTGGCCCCCCCCTGCTTCAAAACAGACCCCAAATTTATTTTTTTTGGGGGTGGGGGGGAATGGGAACAAGCCCCATGGGGTGGGCATCCCCCTTGCCATGTTACATAAGCACAGAGGGAGGGGGATGAGTCCCCTTTGGGCGCACTCTTCCCTTTTGGGGTGGTGTTTTTAGGGGTCTGTGACCCCCCCCCCCTCCCAATTTCCCCCCCAGCTGGATGGAGGCCTGCCTGGGCGAGGAGCTGCCCCCCCCCACGGAGCTGGAGGAGAGCCTGCGCAACGGGGTCCTGCTGGCCAAGCTGGGCCACTGCTTCGCCCCCGACGTGGTCCCTGCCAAGAAGATTTATGACCGAGACCAAACGCGGTACAAGGCAAGTCCGTGGCACGTTGGGGGGGGATGTTCCTCAGGGCCTCCCCCCCCAAAAAAAAAATCCACAGGTTTTGAGGCATCTGGGCAAAGTTTGCATGCAAAAAAGGGCTTCTCACGCAGTGTAAAAGGAAAAAAAAATCAGCAAAAAGCAAATTTGTTGCTCTGGTAGCTGGGGGGGGTGGGTTTTCTCCTGGCTTTGGTGGCTGTGGGGCTTCCTCGGGGGGGGGGTGATCCAAAAATTGGGGGAAGGGGCTGATGGCAGCGCCTTGGGGTGGTTTGGTGATGCAGGGCCTTGTCCCAGGGGTGCATTTTGCCTTTTTTTTGCCCCTAACTTTGGGGTTTTGGGGTTTGGGGGAGATTGGGGGGGGTCCCAGGAGCTTCAGCCTGGCTTGATTTTTTTTTTTTTTTCATTCCCCCCCCCAGGCGAGTGGCCTCCACTTTCGGCACACGGACAACATCAACCACTGGCGCGATGCCATGAGCCGCGTGGGCCTGCCCTCGGTAAGGTGTCCCCGGTGCTGCCCCCCTCCAAAAACCCCCATTACTGGTGGGGGGGGGCTTTTTCTCTCTCCCACCCACCTTTGGGACCGTTTTCTTTGGGGGTTGGCTGCTTTTTGGAGGGGTTTGGTGGTGGCGTTTGGTGGCACTCACAGCCGCCTTGTCACTCTGGCAGCTCTTCCACCCGGAGACCACTGACATCTACGACAAGAAGAACATGCCGCGGGTGGTCTACTGCATCCACGCGCTCAGGTGGGTCCAAAATTGCAGCGTTTCTCCCTAAAACGGGGCTCATCGTGGTGGCACCGGGGCTGCCGCGCTCCCCTTTTCCCAGCCTGGTACCCGAAGGACTTGGGGCAGGGAGGGAGAAGCGAGGCTGAGTGCTCACGGCGTGGATCTGCTTCGTCTTCCAGCTTGTACCTCTTCAAACTGGGGCTGGCTCCGCAGATCCAGGACTTGTACGGGAAGGTGAACTTCACAGGTGAAATTCATGAGGCTCTCAGGTCCCTCTGTGGGATGGGGGGAGGGAATAAAGAGGTTTTGGGAGCTTCCCCAAAGCTTTCCCAAAGCTCTTTGGTGCTGCTGGGGGTTTGCTGCGCCCCTCGGGCTCACCAGGGGGGCTCTGCTGTGGTGTGGGGCCGGGCGGTGACCCCTCTGCTCTGCTCCAGAGGAGGAGATCAACAACATGCAGCGGGAGCTGGACAAGTACGGCCTGCAGCTGCCTGCCTTCAGCAAAATCGGGGGCATTTTGGCCAACGAGCTCTCGGTGGACGAAGCAGCAGGTGAGGAGGTCCCGGGGGAGCGGTGCCGCGCGTTGTCCTGCTGCCAAATCCGCCAGCTGGTGCAAAAAAAAACCCAAACCTGGTGCCCTAAGAGACACCACGGCCTCACGCTTCTCCATCCCACCCCGTCCCCAGTCCACGCCGCCGTGCTGGCCATCAACGAGGCGGTGGAGCAGGGGGTGGCGGCGCAGACGATGGAGGCGCTCCTCAACCCCAATGCCATGCTGCTCAACCTGCGCCCGGTGTTTTCGGGTGCCTACCAGGAGGTGCTGCACCGGGCCAAGAGGGAGAAGGGCAGCAACGCCAGGAACAGGGTGAGGATGGCACCAAAAAAACCTGCAAGGGGGGTGGGAGCCCACCCCGTTGGAATTTTGGGGGTAAAAAGTGACGGGGAAGGGTTTCTCTTTTGGGGCTGGGGGAGGCAGGTTGGGAAATGGGCCCAGAGCTCAGCAGGGTGGAAAGCTCATGGGGGGCACCCCGTTTGCAGCACCTGCGGGCGATTCCGGACGGCGAGGACATCTACGACCGCTGCCT